TCGTCTCTCTCTTATCCTTCTCGGCTATGGCTTCTCTCTCCCTTCTCAGTCTCCTCTTCCACCTTCTCTCTCAACCTTCTTCGTTCTTTGTGGTCAAGCTTTGCGGCTATGGCCGCCTCTCACTTTGTGGGACTGCACGACACACTTCATAGGTAAGTGACAACCCAACTTGTATCGCTCATCTCTCCTCTCCCTCTCTCTCTCTCTCATCTCGCCGTAGCGATGTCTTCAACGCAGGTACGTGGTAAGCCAACCCTGTATCGCTCAACCTTTCTCTCTCCTCTCTCTCTCTCTCTCTCTCTCTCTCTCTCTCTCTTCTGCTTCGTCGTGGTCTTCTCTCCAGGTGCGCGCGGCGGCTTCTTCGACCTCGATATCCGCTATGGCGGACTCTTCTTTGTCAGCCCCTTCGCTATGGCGCATCACTCCCTACGACACACAACGCAGCGCGTGGAACAGCGGGTACCAGCTCTGATACCAATGCAATGAGACTTGCTTTCATTCACACTTTACATGCATGCAAACAGTAACACAGCAAACTGGCGACATGCGCCCACTCAATACTCAGAGATATGGCAACCCAGATACGAGTTCACTTCCAATGGCTATGGCGACATAGCGCCCTTACAACTCTCTGTTCGCATACAGTGGATCACCCTAGATATCCAACACGCGTCTCTCTGAACACTCACACACACGCATGCTGAACTCCAACTACAGCTATGGCGGCTATGGCCGCCTCTACCCTATCGCTATGGCTAAGCTTCGTCTCTCTGCCCACTTCGTCTTCGGGCTCACTGCACACCTCCTTGCACAAGTCGCTGTGGCAGCGCTTCCGCATGGCTCACGCAGGAATGAATGAATGGCTGGGCGCTGGCTCTTGATTTATACTTCTGCAGCTCGTTGGTCTGGCCCTTTCCCATTCCCGAAGTGCACACAGTCCCATGCGGTACTTGCTTGATTGGACCAAACTGCCTAGGACTAGGACTGCTGACTCAACACGGGTAGACTCCACCACTTGCCTCGCCACTTGCCCACTTGCCTCAGCCTAAGCGTGGGATACTCCGAAAGGCCACTACTTACACCTTCCGGAAGGCCGTAGACTTGGCCTTTCGGTCCTGTAGCAGCTACGACTTTGACCCTTCTAGACTGTAGCAGCTACGACCCTGACTCTTCGAGAAGGCTATAGTTACGACCTCTAGACCTGACTGGGGCTCCTATCCGACAGGTCTACAGATCGAACCCATGCTACCTATGGACCCTACGACATCCTATCAACTGTTGCAAATACACAGG